AAACAGTATTTTACAATACGAACCTTTATTTGCAAGGTCATCGTCAGAACGAAGAAATTGATGTCGGCGTGGCACTGAAAACCACGTCGAATGAGGTTTCGCCAGGAACCTTAGGAATGAAACTGCACGGAAAGTGTTACAAGAATGAAGTAAGTTTCAACCGTAATATATTTCATGATTCTATGGATTCAAAAGTGCATCACCAAAGCTACTGTGTGGGTGCGATTTGCTTAGGCTAGTTTGCTCTTGCTCATTCGAAATCTTCGCGGTTATTTGACAAGTCGTTGAAAGTACTTATTCCAGGTATTGAGCATTTGTGTTCTCTTCTAAGAGTACTACAACTCACAGGTTAACGGAGCAGCGGCTGGTCCAATACGGAGTGGAAGGTGTTTCCATTAGCCATCATGACCGACCTCCTACTCTAAAATTTTAATGTAGGAAAAATTTTTCATAACCAGTACCAACGTTTCTGATCTTGTGTTCGCGCTTGAGCTTCGGCAGAAGTCAAACGGAACCCAGAGCAGAGCCCTTCGATGCACTTGTCCAAGTTGAGCTTGGCATTTACCGCGGCAAGTAGTAGTTCTTTCTGGCTTCCTTTTGGAGACATTGTCAACGCATGTCCAGACCATCGTAGCGGTGACTTTTCAATCTGAAAAAACAGCAGCCGTATGCAAAGACTCTCTCAGAGCTCTTTATTCCGGACGACGTCGAGATGCGTGAACACAGCGACTCGTGTCAGAATGCTCATTCAGGCTCTTGTACGCGGGATCGAAGTTTTTCAGTCATAGTCCACAAATCATGACCGTAGGTAAGAGTAGGGATGCAGATCAACTTGACCTTGACCATCGAGAGCGTAATCTACAGACACAGACTTGGTTTAGTCACAACAGTTCAGGCTAGTTTACGCAGAAGGTCATTGGTCATTTTAATTCGCTGGTCGATATTTTCCTCCCACTTCATATCAGCTGTGAAACGGCCTAGAGATACGTGAACTTTTCCCCTACTTAAACGTTTATCTACAAGATTTGGAAGATGCCAACAAAACAAGGTTGTCTGCAAACGATAACCTTCTCGTGTCCATATCTCCTTCGGCGATGCACTCGTCGCGCTGGCTAATTCTCTCTAGCTTAGAGTCAGTCATTTCACGCACCTGTTTTCTAGTTCGTTTGCGTAGCCTTCGCCTGGTATATCCTTTGAATAGTCTTCCTCCTCGTACAGAGGTGCTACAATCCCCATTCTCAGGTCCAGCCTGAAATCTTCCAGCTTTTTCCCTTAGCTACTGCAGCTTCATAGACACTGAAACGCATGTTGCCAGAGCGTACTTTGTTCACCTAATGATCTAAGCATTTTGGAGCGGATTTCATCGACTCCAGCATTCTTGCCACTTTTAAAGTATTTCAGAGCCTCTGTGACCTCATCTGCTAACAGACTGGCATCCGTTGCTGACTGCTTTTCAGGCAAGTGATCCTGCGGTTGCTCGAAATTAAAGAGTTCCTCTAAGTACTCTTCGAATTGCTGCAGTATGTCCTCATCCTTGAGGATCTTTCCACATCAGAAATGGCGAATGATCTGCCAGAATACCTTTTTGGTAGTCTGGAAGCTTGATCCCAGCACCTCACCGAGTTTCTAAGAGGAATTAGCTTTCGCTGTGGCTGCTGCCATCGCTGCCATCTTGCGCGTTTCATCTTATTACATTGAAAGCTTTGCGCCCAAGCCATCTCTTGACTGCGGAATTCTTCTCGTAGACAGCCAGTTGAATCTCTCCTATCCACCAGGAAGTTCATTTCTGACATCAAGACACCAGGTCAGCCCGTTTCAAGCCACGGCATTCAGCGGCAGCCCCGAGTAACTTGCATTAAAGGGCCTCAACCCGGTATGATTTATTTTAACTGAAACCATCTGTGCTCCTCATTATCTTATCATTACGTCACTATTTTCAGATTAAAAAAATGAGAAGTAACATACTACTTCAGAACATAAGAAGTAAAAGTGCAGTTTGCAACCGACTAAGTGTCCTCCGCAATCCCTACTGTTAAAGGAAGGGCATCTTCTGTAGTAGCTTTAGCTCACTGAACTTATGCTGCAGTCTTGAACATTTTTTGATGTCATCACTCAGAAGTTTTTTTGCTCAGACAATACATAGTCAGGTAACATCGAGTGTTATATTTTAAGGTGTTCGTCATAAATTTCAAAGCAATATTGGTGATGGAACGAAACATTTAACATTTACTCAGCTGTTTGCCATTTTTGAAGATTTCGAGCAAGTCTGGCAACGTCCAGTACAAGAAAAGCATGATAGTTCCAGTTGCAGTGAAGAAACTGGGAGTAAACTGAAGACATGGCTCATCTCATCAGAACAGGTGCAAAAGAACGTTGTTATGGAGTACGTCATAGTAAAGAATCACGTATTACAGTGGCCTGTAAGCAACATCGTCTGCGCGGATACCAACTAGCTAAAACTAGAGATCTTGGAAGTTGTCACAATTGATCTAACAGGAAACCAGATAAACAGACAGAAGGAGTCTTATAAGATCATTCCAGCGTGGCTACCTCTATTTCGTGATTAAATGTAAACAAATATATTCGATGTAAACTGTCGTCCCTCGCTCAAGACTCGTCATTATGTTCTCAGAACGTTTCAGCATAATTCGAAGGTCTTCATGTTTCTTACCCGATTCCTTTGTCCATGGATTTCGTTGCAGAAACTATCGACGTTTCCATGTATACTTGGTTCGTTGTGAAGATACTGTAGTGAAGTCTCCTATACGAAAGAAAAATACCTTATTGTCAAGTCATTCAATCTATTATGAATAAGAATCAAAATGGACTAGACTAAAGGCAAATATCCTGGCACATAAATCGAGCTCGACATCAAAGCAGTGGGAAGACAACTGCACCAAACTTGAAAAACTGACCTTGCCAACATGTGGCTAGTTTCCTTGAGATGAAACATCGTTACGGATGTCACTCCAAGTTCAATAGCAATTGTGCATTCTCTGAATCCGAACTAAAATACTTTAAAAAATTAAATGAAAAAAATTAACTAATATTTTGCACACTTGCATCGAAAGCCAATCCATGCTTAGATCCGCCAGACAACGTGTTTCGGAAAACCCCAACTACAGCGAAACGCTGTTGAGATGGACGGTAGGGTTAGTGATAAAACAGTATGATTGTTTTGACTGAACAAATTTCACGGCGCTACCTGTCTCTTGCAAAACTTTTTTTCTGAGAAAAAGAACTGACTCTCTGACAAGACCTGAAGCACTCCAGAGAACGGTGATGCCACCAGTTGCTGATTCAAACAAAATTTTCTTAGGCTATTGAAATCTGTGCCGTCTTGTATCAACTGATCATCACACATTTTACTTCTTTGTCCGAGCTGCTTCAAGATGGCCATTTGAATATCCGTCTTGGGCAGCAAGCATGGCGAACGATGTATTTATTCCTTAAATGCACTTTTAAAAATTTATCTATATCCGACGGGGAGACGAGACAACTAATTTGGTGCCCAACAACTAAGAATTCAACGTCTTCCGCTGATCGTCAACATGCTTAACCACATTGAATATTCGAATCGTTAAGTTATTTAACGATTATCTATAACTAGTTCATAGCGATAAAGTATATGTTGTTGGCAGACGTCACTTAGTTATGCATATCGGCTTTCCATGGTTCAGAAAATGTATATCTCACACCTAGATTTTAGGTGGTGCTGATCGTCATGGCGTCTTGAGCTCAAGTGTTCGTCGCTACTTTCGATTTATTATACCCTTTCATGTTTGTGTTAACGCTTTGTAGTTCCAACATGACCACAGTTATTCGGCTAACCGCATGAAGTACTGACGCTGGGCTGTTTGTAGGTTACAACAAGAGCCTTGATGCAGAAGACATCGGACATCGTTACCGTCTTTGGTTTTGGTGCAACTTGGCCTGTTCTGGATAATCACCATCTCTTGGGTATGTGCTACGTTCACATGTACGCCAACCTTTACCAATGGCTGTCTGGTGCTGGCAAATTGCCTGGAATGCCTGATTACTAGTTTTTCACCAATAGCCATGTGCACATTCATCGCTGGTGAACTATTCATAGAAGAGGGTTTTTATGAAAGTTGGTGCTGGATTTTGTTTAGTGTCTTATTTTGAATTTAATAAATGGTTTGCCTTAGAGTGCCATTTGTTTTTAAATGAGACTCGATCTTGCTAGAAACTGTGAAGAGGTCGAAAGGACTGATGAAACTAGCCTACATTCGTTTGTTAAAAGTAATACGTTAATTCCTTGGTAAATGGGTTAAGGTAATTAGTTAGGTTCACTCCCTCATTTCGCTGCCTTGGCCTCGCTCTTTGAGACCGGCTTTTGCCGATGAGAGAAAAGAATGTGTAGTTCTAACCGTCAGCATCGCACTACCTGTCATTCTTCAGGGGCATGTTCCTTTCTAATTTAATTTTGCGTACGAGTCGCACATCTCCCTTTATCCCCTAAAACCTTATTTGATGGGCACGTGTAATCAGTTCATGCTTCCCAAGCGAACCCTTTGAGCGGTTTCGCATCGCATGTGTTGTAACATTGTCATCTGCATCAAATTCTTTGAGAAAATGCCTGAACTTCTGAACTACAGCGGCGCAGTTTGCAGACATGAACTAAATGATTGGTCATTATCCCAATGGACAGAGCTCTCAAACAATGTAGTAATGAATTTCTGA